TTTATTTGTTGCATTTGTCGTATATAAAATATGTTATATAGTTCAAAAAAAATGTGAAAATTAAAACCAAGGTTCAGTTTTGTTTGAGGACTTGGATTGGAATTGGACTTTTTGGAGGGATTTGAAATTCAGTTCCATGTTAATCCCATGTATTTGAAATTTAGTTTGAAAGATTTTCTGTATTTGAAATTCCATTGAAATCTTACAAACATAGGATTTTGAAATCCCATTAGGTTGGTTGGTTATGCGGGATTTTGTAATATTTGTGTGTAACAAATGCTAAAAGTATGTTAAAAACATTTGTTTTGTAATAATCAATTAATAAAAAGTAATTTAACAATTTTTATAAATAATGGAATTTAATTCCATACTAAATCCGACAAACCAAATATTTCAAATCATTCCAATTCCAAATCTAAATCTCTCAAAACTATTCCATCAAAGCAAACGTCCCCTATCATGTTATGGAGGATCTGATAAAGAAGTGGTATTATCATTGAAGAACATACGATAAAATTGTTTACGATGAACCAGAAGGATGGTGCCTGATTGGTTTGAGTTTGGCTCCAATGGTCAAAAGTACCAGGAGGTTCCAGATTCAAATCCAAGGAGGAATAAAAATTCTCTTGTGGCCACGGAGGTTCAAATGCGGTGACTCTGAGCTATCTGCAAAGCAGGTGATTCCCTTGTGATTAGTCAGCTCACATAGTGGATTAGATATCTAGGTTAATAAAAAAAAATGTTTACGATGATGGATTCACATGAAAAAAGATATCTGGTTCTTAAAAAAGGGATGATGTAATACAAAAATGATTACTTATCCAAATAGCAACTAAGGGGTTGTTTGTTTACCTCTTAATAGTTTCATTAAGAGGCAACATTTGAACCGTTAAGAGGTGAATCTTGTTTGGCAAAAAAAAAGTCTGTCTTTTAATGGTTCTAAAACTCTCTGAATGATTTTGTATCTTGGATCTCTCTTAACCATTAAGAACCGTAATTTCATTGTACACAATTACCAAACAATTATATTTCATTTTGCACTATATTATGAGAGCATCTTAATCATTCTGACCACTTAATCATTCTGCACCAAATCATTCAACAATTGCCAAAAAGCCCCTAATTTTGAAGTGTTCAGTTGTATATGCTTCCAAATGAAATAACCAATTCAAGAACTAATATGAGGAAAGAGGTTTTCTGTGATTATTATTTTGAGTTAATTATCTAATTTAAAATAATCAGCAGCTGAATACTAAAAATTAAGCTGCTTAACAACTCGTAATATTTTTGCATCGCGACAATAATCCATATTTTCTATCTCATAATCGTCTCATGTTTTTTCTTTCCATCTTTTTCAGGATTGAAAACCATTCTTCACCTTAATGACTGAATCATATTTTTTTTTGATTAACCTGGATATCCAACCCGTTATGCGAGCCGACTAATCTCCTGACGACCACCTGCTTTGCAGATAGTCCGGAGTCACCACATTTGAACCTCCATGGCCACAAGGGATTTTTATTACTCATTGGTTTTGAACCTGAGACCTCCTGGTACTTTCGACATTTGGAGCCAAGCTCAAACCAATCAGGCACCACCTCTTGTGATTCATTGAATCAGTTTATTACTAACAGTGTGTGATATGTAATTTGTAATTTTAATTAAATATGTTACTTCGTCGGAATAGTTTAATTTGTACTCAGATTATTTATAATTTTAATATATAATGTAACAATCCAAACTTCGTGCATTATTTGATAATATCAAGTGTATGGTTGAAACTTGAAAGTGTGAATAAAATAGGAAATAATATAACATAAACAAATAAAATTCAATTTGAATTTAATGAAACGCCATTGTCACGGTGGTTCATGGCGGTACAACTACTTAAAAAAAAAATGAAGGACCGTTTATCAAACGTTTATCTGAGTAAGCACTTATCAAGTTACATTATCTTACTGGATAAATATGATAAAGAACCAAAAATCTTACTCGGTAAGAGCGAGACAAGGACCAAAAGTCTTACCTGGTAAGTGAGTGCGACGACTCTTACCATGGTAAGCGCTTACCGAACAAATTGTTGCATAAGATGTCATTTTGGTAGACTAGAATCTTACCCGGTAAGTAAATAATAGTGTTAAATTTTACCGATAAACACTTACCGGGTAAGTGTTTGGTAAACGGCTCCTTAGTTTACTTTTTAACTTATTCAAAAAAGTCCCATTTGAAAAGTTACAAGTTAGTTTTTGAGAAAAAATAAAATAGCAATTCAGTAAGTTTTAGACTTTTTTTCATTTTTTTTTCCCGAATCATGTTCCTTATTTTGTCATACAAATTAATCAATTACATTTTATCAAATATGACTAGTTTATTAACTAACAACGTTCTTATTAAATTATGTTTGGAAACTAGATATTAGCTGAGAAACTAAATGTTGACTTATAAGCTAGCTATTAATAGAGGTGCACACGGGTCATGTTCTGCAACTTGAAGTAAGAATAATTTGACATTCTGAGTCTCTCATTGGTTCATGTTTTATGTTGATCAGATAAAATTATACTCGGATTAAAAGGCAGAAAGTGGGAAAAAAAACAAGCCGGACATCCAAAATGGATTTCTATGTTCATTACATATGTATAAATGGTAGCATTGAACTTAAAATTGGATCATGATTTGGTGTATATATCGTGGGAAATGTATAATAGATGTTACTACAAATGGAGATAACGTTATACGAAAAATTGCATGAAAATATAACGTATTTTAACTTGAAATCTATTTTAGGTAATGTACCTTCAAAATTTTCATTTTGGTACCTAAGATGTAAAGTTTTTAATATTTAAGTATCCGGGTAACCGGTTGAAGTATTAACTGGTTATCATGCCGATGTGGCGAGTTATGTGGTATCCAACTCAGAATTATTTGCTATTCAACCCAATTTCATCTCATTACTCACCACATCAGCATGATAACCGGTTAATGCTTCAACCGGTTACTCAGGTACTTAAATGTTTACAACTTTACATCTTAGGTAAGAAAATGGAAGTTCTGAAATTATGTTACCTAGAATATGAATCAAGTTAAAGTACGTTACTTTTTCATACAATTTGTCCAACATTAATTATAAAAAGAACCAACAAAATGAAATTAGATATAAAAAGCGTGGTAGACTCCCCACCAACACCAAGTGAAATAATAAATTCAAATCTAATGTTGCAAAAAGATATTTGGAGAAAGATCATTCGTACCTATTATTTATATGCAAAAATAAGCTTGGATTAAAGTCATCCAAAAAGGTATGTATTCAATATTTAACACTGAGTCGTAAACCTTTTATAAATCAATTTTTGCAGCTAGAGATGCAAAAAGTACTCGTTATCTGAATTCGAATCAAATATGCTACAAAACTAGACTTAGAAGGACAATTCCTTCATGGACCATACACGTGCTAGAGCTAGTCCTTCGTATCTAAAATGGTTTTCATTTTCACGTCTTAACTGGTTTAAGATTGGTTCGAAAAAAGACTGGTTAAGAACTGAAATTTGACCAAGCCAACGCTCTTTATAACGTCCAGTTTTAAAACTAAAAAGGATTTTCTTCACTTTTTTAACATAAAGAAAAAACAAAATTGGGTTCGTGTCAAGACCACTTAAGAATGTCGAGACCATATTAAGAGGCCATTTACCAAACACTTATCCGGTAAAAGCACTTATCGGTAAAATTCAACATTATGATTTACTTACCAGATAAGATTTTAGTCAACAAAAACGGCATTATATGCAATAATTTACCCGGTAAGCGCTAATCGTGGTAAGAGTTGTTCCCCTCACTTACCGGGTAAGACTATAAGTCATTGCCTCGCTCTTACCGAGTAAGATTCCTGGTCTTTGTCATATTCATCGGGTAAGGTAGTTTAATTTGGTACGTGCATACCCGGATAAGAATTTGCTAAAAGGCCCCTAATTAATTTTATATAAAAAATCGACATCATTTGCCAGAACATGACAAAACGACTATTTGTTAAACACTTAAATGTTTGAGATTTCACATCTTCTATATAAATTTGAAAATACGTTACCTAGAATAGAATATTAAAGTAAAACAAATTACATTAAAAATTCATCCAATTCAGTTTAAACTAACCAACCATGATCGGATATCCAATTGTCATTGGCTCAAAACAAATTACAACGTTCGGTTCTTGGATGACAGTCTAACATACAATACAATTGGGCCGACCTGATCCAATTATTCATCCCATTGTCACCCGATTAATAACTACATTAACATTTCATAATATTATTTTTTTTAGTTGATATTTATATGTATGTGTTTTTTAATATCTTTAGAAAATATATGAATAATTGGTTGAAAATTGGATTAAGATATTAGATTAACTCAATCCGTTCCAACAGATAACTAATAGTAACATTCAAAAGTTGGAACCGATCCGATCCAATCATACATTGGATTAGATTTGAATGGATCGCATATAATGTCCAATGTTAGGGGTTGTTTGTTTACCTCTTAATAGTTCCATTAAGATGCAAGCTCTGAATCATTAAGAGGTGAATCTTGCTTGGAAAAAAAAAATCTGTCTCTTAATGGTTATAAAACCCTCTGAATAATTTTGTATCTTGGATCTTTCTTAACCATCAAAAGCCCTAATTTCTTTGTACACAGTTACCAAACAATTATATTTCATTTTGCACTATATCATGAGAATCTCTTAATCATTCTGACCACTTAATCATTCTGCACCAAACCATTCAGCAATTGTCAAACAACCCCTAATTAGATTTGATCGAATGATAAAAATTCAACACATAATAAATGACTGTATCATATCAGATCCATCTAAATTCATTATTACAAAGTTTTATTCAAAATAAATAAATAAGCCGAAAACCTGACGCACATAATAATCACCTTAACATGCTCCTTACATATTTCACATGACCACATATTTAACACAAAATTACCAAACTTTTGCAGTAAAACCTCCAGGGAGCATGGAATGTCTTACCAGATTAAGCATGGCTTAATCTACACAAACCAGCATTGTTTCATCTGCAATAACTACACCATCTACCACATCAACCTTTCGAGAATAACAACCGGCCTCATTCGTGAACTCGTAACTCTGATGGTTTTCTACCGATCCCCCGATCACCGAATTACCGTTCACCGAATTACCGTTCACCAGCATCGAACCCGTACAATTTTGCTTGTGTTTCAACTCCCTCGATATCGAGCTTCTTTTGTTAGAAAAACTCTCGCTTCGCCTTTGCACCACGCTCGTGGTCATCAGGGTGGCGTTTTTATCCGCTAATGGCTGTGATTGAATGGTGATCATGACAGGATATATTTTCTCCATTTGGATTTTTCCGATTGATTCTCCCATTCCGTTTGTCATCTTTATTTTGGTCGTGGTTTTGATCTTCTGTTCGAGTTGTTTTGTGGTTCCGCCATCTTTGATCTTGAGCTTGTTTTTGAAGATGATTTCTTGTGTTACTTTGGTTTTCTGAAGGCCTGAACTTGATTGTACCCATGATGTAGCTTTAGTCTTCCTTTCGACTTCGGTCTCGAATTTGCCTTCGAGACCTTCGAATTCAAACTCGTTTTCGATATCCATTGTTGGATCTTCGTACTTCACGATCGCTTGTACATTTGAATCATCCAACCAAAGATGTAGATTTGCATCCACCAGCCAATATGAAATGCCATTAGCAACCTGAAGTCCGATTGAATGAATTTTGTTGTCCGAAAGAAGCCCTAAAAATGGAGTTAAATCGATATCATAAGAAGGAAGATCAAAAGCTCCAATGGACACAACTGGCTCCCAAAACAAAGGATTGATTCCTTTAGCGAATATCACCGGAAAAGGAATCACAGTTCCGACCAATTTCCCGTCGATTGTCACCAAAACTTCACGGTACGCTCCATGAGTTCTTCCGGTGGGCAAATGGTTGGCTTGTATATACGAATCCGGCGGATTCAAGTACCAGAATTCATCGCCTCCATGAAACGAAACGTATAATTCAAGCACCGCTTTGTAAGTCGTCGGAGGAATTTGAACATTTGTTGTTCGTACATCAGATTCATCATGGATTCTAAACCAATGCCCCTCATCAAGAGCTCCAGAGATCGGAACGATCAAATCTGCTGATTTTTCATAGGGATATAACGATTTTAGCACTCGATCAAGCTCTAATTTATCCTTATTTTCACGAGTCTTATCAGAAATCAATTTTCTATTCAGCGGCTGAGCTTCTGATTCCCCTGAAACGACAGATACCGGAAACCTAACGGCCTTATCAGAGTAAAAGAGCAAAGAGACATTAACCTGATAAACGCCAGTGAACTCGCCGTTTCCAAGGTTTTCGAGCTTGACGGAGAGAGTGAGATTTTCTCGAGTGAAAATCGAAGAATACCTAGTCACGTCCTTCCGAACATTCCAGAGGACTCCGTCTTCAGTCGGCTGAGCCGTACTCGTCCGCAACAGCTCGACTCCGTCCATCCAGACGCCGGCGATACTTTCGTACTGATCACCTTTATATTCCGCTTGGTAGTGAAGGACGGCGTGGGACCATTCACATGTGGCATTTGGTGGAGTATAGCAAACATTGATTCCGGTAGTGGCGGAGGTGTTTCCAAAGCTGTCACTAAGTACGTTGACGGAGCATGCCGGAGTAGCGTCGTCGGTGGGAAGTGGGAGAGTGACCTCGAAGTACTCCGGAGCAGGGACGTCGATCGTCTCATTACTGGAGTTTTGTCTGAGAGAATTGACGAAACGTGGCAGTGATAATGAGGGTTTGGGGGAGGATTGAATCGTGATGGTGAAGAACAGAGGGAAAAGGAGGAGGAGGACGACGTTCATGGCTTCCATTTAGTCATGTAATTTTTCAATTTCTGGGGGGTTTATACTTATATAGTGATGAAATTGTATTGCGGAAAAATAGGACGAAGCTTCGTAGTCGTTGAGATGCCAACGTGAACACGTGGCACCATTGTTATTTTGGGACATATACTGTGGTATGTTCGACTATATTTACGGAGTTTAAGACCATTTATATCCATGTACTTATAAATTATTTATTCAAATTAATTTCTTTTTACATAGTCTTTATTATTATTTTATAAATTTTAATTTATTAATCAAATACGAAAAATAAAATTTATTTACTTCAGTCTAAATATTCACTAAGGGGTCGTTTACCAAACGTTTATCGGATAAGTGCTTATCAAATTACGTTACCTCACCGGATGAATATGGTAAGTACCAAGAATCTTATCCGGTAAGAACGATATAAAGAACAAAAGTCTTACCGGGTAAGTGCGGACGACAACTCTTACTACGGTAAGTGCTTACCGGGTAAATTGTTGCATACAATGTCGTTTTGGTGGACTAAAATCTTACCCGGTAAGTATTTAATAGTGTTATATTTGACCGGTAAACACTTATCGGGTAAGTATTTGGTAAACGGCCCTTAAAATATTAACTAACATCAACCATAAATTTATAATTTAATTATCAAATAAAAAACTATAATATTTATTTTAATTCAAAATTTTATTCATTTAAATAGTTTAGATTTGTGCTTATTTTGAAATTATTTAAGAGAACTTTGTTAACATAAGTAAAAGAGAGAATTATGCTTTTGGTCCCTCATGTTTATTGATTTCTTTAAAAGTGCGACATGTACTTCAATAAATCAAGTTGTAGTCCCTGAGGTTTGGATTTTGCTTTGAAAGAAGGACATGGTCGTTAACTCCGTCTATTTCCGTCATTAGTGGCAGGGGTATTTTTGTTCGAAATTGTTTTCTCTATCTTTTTAACCAAACTATCTAATTTATTTAGATAACTTTTCGTATCCCCCACCAAACTACACCATCACTCTCACTCTCACTCTCACTCTCAGTCTCACACAAAATCACTAGTAATCATCGAGAACTTCAACTACAATGTCATTATCGTGGATTTTATGAAGAAATTTAGAAGAAGAATGGAATCCAACAGATGTTTATCATAAGCATTTGTCATTGTTTTTTACTCCATATTTTTGTCAATAGATAGGTCAATTGATATTAACCTTTTTTTCCTTCTATTTTGTTCATAGATCATTATCCAACACAGATAACAACAAGAATCAACCATGGAGGTGTATTTACAAGATTTCTTGGAAGAAGATGCATAAATGGTAAGAGTGATTTTGTTGATTTGATTAACATTGATCACCTATCGTTTCATCAGTTCAGCACCGTGATGATAGCATTAGAAGTAATGTATTACCATTTACTCGATTCTCTCCGGTGACCTAGATATCGGGTTGAGATCTTTAGGGAGTGACCAGGATATTTTAAACCTGTTAAAGTATGTCCCTATGGTGACACTGATAGATGTTTTCATATAATACGGCAAAAGAACTGTCAACTTAGCTGTCATCCTCAAATTCCACTAATCTTGTTATTGAGGAAAAGAATGTTGAAAACATAGATTTGAATCAAAGTTTTTATCATTTGCTTCATAACTTTGATCTTTTCATTAAGTTGGAATCTGATTTACCAGAAGTGGGACAAGGGCTGATTTGGGACAGGGGGTTGATTTGAACCATAGAGTTGAAGTGAAAATATAGTTGAATTAAACCAACAATTAATGACTCAATCAAGAACCGATTGTTACCTTCATAAAGACACTTAAATGACGACCATTGTAACCCTCATTCAACACACTTATAAATGAACCAACTGGACTCGAGCAAACGACATCTAATCATCTGGGCAATATTGAAGAATAAGCTACTGAAGCAATCTCATAAAACCCATTATTCTTGTCTTGAGTTATCATCCACAATCGACGTGTTTTATACACGACTGTTTTGTCATAGTTATTGTTACCAAGGACGATATCCAGGATTGATGTCTATAGTGCATTGACAACTTCTATTATCGTCCGAGGTTTTTTCCTCAACAAGAGGTTTTCCGCGTCACCAATTCTCTCGTCTCTTTTACTTGATCATTTGTCATGTTTATTTCAAAGTATTCGATCTTTAATTGTAAAAGTTATATAAATCAACCTTAAATTATTTAAGTGTAATTTTTGATATTAATAATATGAAAATATATATAAAAAATTACACAATATTATTAAGTTAGAAAATATCAAATGAAAAAAGTAAACAGTATATTAATGTGATAATTTAGAGTCTAATAATTAATAATTTTAATAAAAATTTGCTGAAATATATACTTTAATAACTAAAATACTATTTTTAAGTTATTAAATTATTAATTTAGTTTTAAATTTATTCATAAACCAAGTCTATATCTATATATATTAAAGGAAAATCCAATAGTGTTTACATAACATGTCCTAATGTTAGAATCCTTTTTTATCTTATTTCTATTTTTTTTAAATACGTCTAATATAAGAAACAGAAGATGACCATCCCTATACATCTTGCAATATAGGTTAAGTCGGTACTCTCCAATGAAAGTCTCCATCACTGTTGTTACATGAGGCCAAACAATATCCGATGAAACCCGTGCTCCTTGAATGATCTATATTTTTTTGATTGTATGTTAAGCATACTTATAAGGTGCCGGTTACCAAATGCTTACCCTTGGTAAGCGCTTACCAAGTCACTTTACTTTACCGGATGAATATGACAATGACTAAAAATCTTACCCGGTAAGAGCAAATGCAAGAATCGAGAGTCTTACCCGGTAAGTGAGGACGATGACTCTTACCATGATTAGCGCTTATCGGGATAAATTGTTGCATATGATGCGTTTTAGTGAATAAAATCTTATCCGGTAAGTAAGCGATAGTGTTGAATTTTACTAATAAGCGCTTACCATGTAAGTATTTAGGTAAACGGCCCCTAAGTGAATCTACTTCGACACCAATTTTCTATTGAATCATGTTTCAAAAATGCAAGAAGAACTATTTTAGTTCTCACATGCATATCAATAGTTTCAGCACTCGGTAAGCAAATAATTTTTGTGTAAACATCATTTGTTGGATTAGTTGAAGGTGTTAGCGTTATATTATTACAAACCTCTAGCATTTGAATCTCTTCTTCAAATATAAGTCATCAAGGTATTCTGCAAGCACTACACATTAATAATATCAACCTTCAATCATGAAGATATGTGATGAAGAAGGGTGTTTGAAGGGATACGGCTTCCTCATAGCCTCTAACTCTTTTTGGCATCTTTATTTCATATTATTAAACATTTCAACAAAAAGTATCAAATTATATTGAGATTCTTGTCTGAACAGATAATAACACACAAATTAAAGGAAGATGTTGATACTTAACTAACCAATGTTGTTTATGGTTTCGAAAAATTAAAGGATTACCACGTATGAGTTTCTAGAAAAAGTTGTATAAAATAGTACATGAAAAATGATTCACATTTTTTTGACAATTAGAATCGGGTACTCAACCCCGTTTGACTTTTCCAGTTCAAGATAAATGCATTTGTAAGTTCACAAAAATTGAAAATTGTATTTACCTGCATAATTGAACCTTATTCAAGAAAACATTATAAATGGTACTTGAATCAAAATGGCATTTACCTGCATACACATTTGCAGCTAACCATTTTTGTACAACTTTAATTTCAATACTGGAGCATTATTGATGCGTGTCATGGTGTAGAGGACCATGCCTTATTCTTTAGGGCGGCCCATGACCAAGCTAACAAAGAGTGTCGCACTTAAATGCGCATAACTTTTGTGCGAGACTCTATTTTAGGTTCATAACATATCGACTCGAAGCATGAAACGAGGAACACTTCCTGGGGAAGTGTTCATAGAATCAACGGGATCAACCTTCGTTCATTTATCGTACATTGCATTAATTACTTTTTACAAGTACATACAGTGTTTTTCATTATATTTTATTAGTTGTCAATGAATTAACAAGTTATGCTTCATCTCAAACTAATTACATACTTATTTTCTAACACCACATTTTTTGTCATCGTGCAACGCACGATGCCACTCACTAGTAGCTTATAAACTAAAAATCCCTAAATCGGAACGGGGAACTAAGGTAGTAAGGTGGTAAATAATTTTACAAAATGATATACTTTAATATACTGAGTTAAAAAAAAGAAGCTTTAATTAAACTTTTTTGAAAGAAAAGCAGTAATAATAGCAAGAAATAAAAGCAATAATTAGAGTTCAACGAATAGTCTGTACGATATAAAATCGAACGAAACCAAGCAATCCAAAAAAAGAGTTAAAAAGCCTGAACAAACGAAAAGCAGGTTTTCTGAGAGAATTTACACAATGAATGCGGCTTTTTGTTTCGTTTATTATGTTTTATCATATTTTTATTAGGGGTCGTTTACTAAACACTTATTCGGGTAAGTGAACACCAAGTCATATTATCTCACCGAATAAATATGGTAGACCAAGAATCTTACCCGGTAAGTGCGAGACAAGGACCAAAAGTCTTATCCGGTAAGTGAGGATGACGACTCTTACCATGGTAAGGTAAATTGTTGCACATAATATCGTTTTGATGGACTAAAATCTTATCTGGTACGTAAATAATAGTGTCTAATTTTACCGGTAAACAATTACCGGGTAAGTGTTTGGTAAATGGCCCTTAGTCAATCTATTATATTTTTTTTCAATAAGTTCATAAAATACATAAACTAAAATCATTATGAAAATATAAAATTATAAATTATAACATATATTAACTAATTTATTTTTTATTTGTATGGTTTATTATAATATTTTTGTTGTTTATTTTAATAAATTTAATCATAAACTCATATAATACTTCGCATGTAGTTAAATAAAAATATTTTTATCTGAAAGACAACAAATGTAATAAATTAATACCATCACAGTTTAATTAAATTTAT